ATGCCCTTCACCCAGCCAAGCTTCTGAAAGACATGGAAATTCGATATTAAACTATATGTCACGGTCGGTCCAAAACTTTTTGGCTTTTGGTCTATGCAATGAACCACTTAGCCATATACTATTTAGCTAGGCATTTAGTATTGCAAATATAAAACCGTGGTTAAATAGACCCTAAAGGTATCGGGCACATATATATGTGTTTTCCGGAACGGCTGGGGTTTTCGGGGAGCGTAACACACGGCTCGCATCTGAAGATGCGGTTAGCGTCGTCCTCGCAGCGCAAAGATCCTCTCGCGGAGGTCTGAAGAAAGCATGTGTGCATGCGTGCTTGCCATGCATGCATGCCATGCGTGCATGCGTGCGCGCCGGCATGCATACATGGATGGATGGATGGATGGATGGCTGGATGGATGGATGGATGGATGGATGGATGGGTGGATATATGTATTCATGTATGCATGCATGATTTGTTAATGTATATATATACACACGAAACGGGGTGTTCGTTAAACAGATTATGAAGACGTGTTTTGAAGTTCTGTATGCTTTCATGCAGTTCACAGCCAATCAAACTGTTTGGTTAACTATGAACCTAGTGACCAGTATCACAAACAACGGGGTTCAACAGGCATAAATCCGTCCCCGTAATATCAAGAACCCTGTGCTGAACGTGATTTTTGGGCACAGCATTCATGACGTGAGGGTGGTTCGGCCGATTGAGCGTGTTGCAGACCGCAGACCCGCAGTTTTACATTGTTGTATCTGCTGCAGCCTGCAGTCCTTTGCGGTCCTACGTTCCTGTGGCTTCTTGCATCATGCCGTTCCCCTGTATTCCCACCTCCTGGTGGCTCCTACAACCCATAATTCCCTTGCAGTCCCTTGCTTTTCGTATCAGTACCAGAAGTACAGTATCAGCCTTACATCTACCACGATTTGAGTCATTATCTCCTATTCTTATTCCTATGACTGTTGCTATTGCTGCCACGACTTGCGACTTACGAATACGACTGTGCTTCTTACGAGTATGACTGTGCTGTTGCTTTGGGATTGCTATTTGGCTGCACTCTGAAATTCCCCCTGGCCACGGAAAAGCCTTTCCAAACCCCTCGTCCGAGTATTTTCGAGTATTGTGCTGTTGCAAGTGGAAGAGGCCTCTGCCTCTCTCTCTCTCTCTCNNCTCTCCCTCCCTCTCTGTCTCTCTTTAAGCCGGGAGAGCTTGGGCTTACGAGGAACAACCTGCAGCAGTGCCTCGAAAACCTTGACAAGCTGAAGGATGCCGGGGAAGTAATGCACTGGTTTTGATAGCTGTGCCCTGATGCGGTTGACTAGTTCCTGGACTAGTTTTCTGTTCGCGGCTTGTGCTGGAGGTTCGAGGTTGTTCGGCTTTCTATGCCGACCGTCGGAAGCAGCAACATAAGCGACGGGTTCGTCCTTACCTTGGATCGCATCGTTGAGGGAATCAGTGTAGAGTGTTGCAGACCTCATGTGCTAAGCATCTGGGTTCGTTATCTTATGAACAGTAGCACTGTTTCCAATTTCGGGGATGGAGAGTCTCGTGAAGCTGGGTATCCTCAAGGAGACGGTGGAGGATGCCTTTGATGAGTACTTCCCTAGCGAAGGCCCGGACAAGGCGGAGCGGCGGAGTGTGCATGCCAGGGGTGTGCGTGAGAGGCAGACCTGAAGAAGTGCGGTAACAGGTAACAGTTCACTCCAGCAATTCCAGTGCCAGTGGTTGCTGGAATGCAGGGCACAGACAAGCATCAGCTCAAGAGTTTGTAGCCAGATGGAAGAGTAGCCAATGGAACTCGAGCGCAAAAGGCATTCCTCCGTCACCAGCATGCGAATGTGTTCAATCAACGATGCCGCCTTTCTACCATCACAACTTCGTGCATCTGGAGTCGTGATGCTAGACATGCTAGCTGCAGGACAAGCACGAGATGTTCCGACACTGTATTGCAGCACTCGCTGCATCGAAGGCCGTCGACACCGTCTCAGTGCGACTTTGCGTACCGGCGAAGTGCAGAGGCCGATCTGGAGGCACTACATTCCAGCCAGTGCAAGGACGGCTCCGAGCTCGGCTCCCGCTCGACTTGCAGCCTTCCTCTGCAGGTTGTCTTCGTTTGGAGAGCATCCGCCAACGTTGTCACCTTGTCTTCGTTTGGTCTCTGAGCTCTGTCTTGCAACGTAACATCAAGTGTCGCGCAGAGCTCTACTCCGTGCGATGGCAAAACAGTACAGTCGCACCTGTAGCTCAATAGTTTTGCAATCTTCCGTCTTCTTCTCTGCCTTAAGCCTTTCTTGTCTGGGGTGTTATTCCATCTTATTCGCGGTGTCAAAAGGATCGTGGAACCGTTGCACATATGTTTGAGCCTAGATGATGCAGTCTTGAGGAAAGCACGGCCCTCCGAGTTCCCTCCTCTTTTATTTGCCAGCTCAGCTGCAACACACTCAAGTGGCTGCCAAATGCCAGACCATATATACAATGGTAAAGCCATGGTTGCCCTCCAGCCTTTGGAATCAAGGAGTGATCACGTTCAAGGACAGAAATCACAGGAGAGGAACCAACGTTTGGATGACATCAACGGAGAAAACAGTGGCTGCCGACTGCCTCAGCCCCGCTATGTGGGCAAAGCCCAAGTAAGTCAGAGCAGCCGTTCTCATCAGGTCTGAACATCCTGAAAATCCACTTGCGACCCATGCTGGAGCCCCTTGACAAGCTCGACTACAACATTTCGGAGGTGCGAAGAGGTCGAGCGGGGCCGTGACCAACGCTGCAGTGAAGCTGTTCAGGCCCAATACGCAGATTTCCAGGTCAACGATCCCTTTGCGAAGGCTCGCCCGAGCCGGTCACTTCGGTCACCTTCTGCGCTTGGTTTCCAGGCTTTCAACGCCCAAGCAGACGTTATTCATCAGCACATCAAGGCGCAGACCTTGAGATCATGTCACCATTGTCGTCTTGTCTTGCCCGGCAAGTGCCGAACTTTTTGCTCAAGTTCTGCTCGCAGGCGGTTCTGAACTCCTCGTCCGCGGAGGAAATCATGCAGCGACTGAGACTGGCTTGGCAAAGTCGCTTGAACCTGATTGCAAAAGCCTGTTATGTACCAGGCAAATGGCTGAGCAGACATGTCGCAGGATCGAGAAGGTGACGGCGCATTGTATCCAGTGGAGTCATGTGGAGTCGATGTCTTCGATGCTTGGAGCTTGAACCCACTCACTTTCGCTATGCTTTCAGCAGCTCGGGAATGTGTGTTGCCATCTTTTCTAACTTTTCGGTCTGCCGCAACCTGACACGGGTTTGCAGCAAGTGGGAATGGCGGGGGCGGCGGGGGGGGAGACCTCAACAAAGACCGACAGGCCTACTGAGCGATCCCTCGGGCGGTAGGAGCCCTGCACCCGTCGTCTCTCTTACCTTTGTTCTGCGACTACGCTCCCTCACAACCGTTAACTGCTGAGCGTCAGTGGATTTCTGGACTGCCCTGTAGGGCTCCTTCGTCTTGTGCAAAACGTGGTTGACACAGGGGGCAGAGGCCACTAAACCATAGCGAAACAATGGTCGAATTTAGGCTGTTTTCCGGACATCATGCTGCATCATGTTTCAGTTGGCATAAGCTTCTGTGCACATTATATGCCTGAGCTCTAAGGCTTCTAAAGCCTCAAACTTGCCATAGGCTTCTGCCGCGGACAGCATCGCAACATATCGCAACAGTCCTGGTTTGAAGCCACATCCGCTGCACGACACAAGGGTTCCCAACTGAACACAAGCTCCACTCATGCTTTCTTTACAGCGGAAGGCTGTCATGGGAACCAACAAAATCTTACGGAGGTCGGCACGTTCAGAGCAGCACCACAAGACCTGATCGACGCTTCGACAGCTTGGTTACAATCCCGGCAATACCAGTTGTGCGCCCAAGGCCTCTGTGACAAGGGTCCGTATGCATGCCGCCGCACAATTTTGGCGATCTGTCGTAGTCTGTCACACAAGGCGTTCGACTACTGCAAGCGCTCTGCCAACCTGGGGTCCCTACGACTAGAAAGCAACCATGGCGCCAAGACTGATGCACCTCAAGTTTCCGCCAAGATTTCTTCAAACATTCGCGCCGAGCGAAAAGGCACCCCCAGCATTTGATTGACTCAAAAGCGGAATCTCAAACGCAACTTGCTTGGGTGTGAACGGGCTTGCCTCTTTTCAATGCCTGCACGGCTTGTGAGGGCCAGTTCCCAGCCGGTGCTGCCTGCAGGGCCGTAAGGAAGCGCTTACATCCACAAGGCCCATTGCCGAAAACGGCAGTGGTGCATCTTCCTGGGCTTTTTGGTAGCAGGCCCTTTCGAAGTTGGCAGCTTCCCGCTGCAACATCCTTCAGTCCACATCAAACACCTTCACCATCCCGCGATGAGTTCGTCAACTTCGGTTGCCCGACACGACACACGAACTGATTGTCAGTGGTTCAGGCTGCCCTTTCGAAGCACTTCAGCTTGTTCGGCGCTTTGCAGTTTGAAAGTGATGCCAGAGGCCCAGGAGTTCGAGGGGATGCCCTAGGACTTTCTCAGACGTTAGTGTCCTTCAGTTCGGTGGACTGCGAATCCGAGGTCAGAGCGATCTGTTCTTTCTTTACAAGTGTCAGCGAGCAGGTACAGCTAAGTCGGCTCAGCAGAACGTCGCGCAGAGCAACCGAGGGAACTCTATTTGTGAGCGAAGCTCGTGACGCAGGCTTTGAGGCACAAGTTCGCGAGGCTTTTCGAAATGTCCAGCTTGCTTTGGTCTGAGATGGCTTGCTCTTTTGCCGCTTGGAGCGCCGACCATGCTTGCAACGCTCATGTGCGACTTCAGGCTGAACTTGGAGAGCTTGGACGAGCTTCGTGAGCTGTGCAGTGAGTTAAGGTGCGCTGCCGGTGTCGAGTGCGACATGCGCAAAAGCTTCGAAACGTTTCCGTGCCGACAGCGTCAAAGTGATTGCAACGCTGGGTCAGGACCTGGCGGCTTACACCCGACGAGATGCAGAAACTGCTGCAATCACGGTCCGACTTCGAAGCCACGGAGGTGAATGTGAAGCACTGAATCCTGTTTTGCAACTCGTGAAGCCGCCAGGATCAGATCAACTACCTGCTGCCGAAGTGAGCTGCCGCGTCTGCCACATTCTCATGGGAAGGTCAAAAAGCTGTGCACCAGTGAAAGTTCAAGGTCTCGGTCGAATGCTTTAGTCTTGTGAGTTCGGATGAAGCAAGTGGGCAGTCACGGCAGTCAGTATGGGCGAAGAGAGTCTGGCCCGAGTGTTTCTGATCAGGACTGGGCCGAGCAGGAAGCAGGTAGTGGCAGTTTGGCAAAGAAAGAAGCAACTTGTATGCATCACAAACCACAATCGAACACAGGGTGCAGGCAGCCCCAAGTCTTCAACTTGGCGGCATAGTGCTAAGAAAGTGTTACTGAGCTGCCAGCCGCCCGAGGGTGCGAAAAAAGGCTTCAGCTTCCAAGTCCACAGTCTTCGCTGGTTAAACAGCGAGGAGAGTTTCTGAATGGAAGCCTTGTACTTTTTGTCGATCTTAGTCTGCTTATCGTGTTCTCAGCTCCCAGGCCTGGACCCTTCCGGTCCTCCCGTCCTGCGAGCTTCCGTTGCAGGGGTGCCGATTGAAAAAAACGCGGGTAATCCAAAGGCTGCCGAGTTACAGTTAAGCCACGGAATAGGTTCTTGAATGGCAGACTGCAAGCCAAAAAGGAGAAATTCCCGAGAAACCCTGAGGCCTCGCGGCAAATCTTTAGTAAACGGAGATGTTGGCAGGCAGCATGCATTTTGACGGCCGAGGCTCCGACCCTGTCTGCCAAGGATGCTGGGCGCGTCTGTGCACCGCAGCGGTTGCAAGCTTCGGCACGGGCCGTCCGCAACCTCTTCCTCTGCGTGTGCAGCAAGGACGATGCTGCAGACGACGAACCCCTTCGTCCGAGCGTGGAACAGAGACGCTTTGATGCCCTGAGCAGGCCCGAAGCCCGGCACTTAGCCGGTCGCACAGCCGCTCGCACTTTTGCGCAATCACGTCGCCTCGTCGTTGCCGTTGCGGCGTTGCGGCCCGCAAGTCTTGCTTTTTTTCGTTTGTGGAGACGGTCACCTGAAGCGCTACCACTTTCATACGCCCTTGGGCAGCAGGTTTGTCTGCCCCACCGTTGATCTGTACAGGCTGCTCCTTGACGACGCTGCAGCACTTGAATGCGCCTCTGGCGCATGCCTCAACTGGCGACACACCCTCAACTTGCGCCTGCACCGATGAATCCGCCGCCATGTGCGCAGCTCAACCCAGCATGGGCTGCGGTGAGCGTCTCGATGGCAACCGCCCGTTAAACCGTGTCGGCGCTCGTAGCTGCGGGCCACGTGCACTTCCCGCGAGGGGAACTGCACGAGGTCGACGACCCTGGCCTTATGGCGTGTGGCAATGAGCTGAGGCGTGCGCCCTCGGGCTCGGCTCCTGCCATCCCCACCCCCCAGCTCTGGAGGGGGCTGGGAAATAGTCCCGACTACAACCGAACCGGAAACCCGATGACACAACCAGAGGCCCGAAACTACAACCAAAAACTGGACGCTACTACAACTGAGTGGCTTTTGCACAAACACGGTCCCTACTACAACTAGAGCATCTATTAATTGAAATTAATTGTTTAGTTTAGAGTTCTGTGAACATTATTCCGTTGTTAAGAGATCTGTTAGGGATTTGTCAAAGCTTCATACAGGGGCTTTTCAGGTATTCTTACAAGTTCTACAGGGGTTTTAAGACATTATTCTGACAAGTTTTACGAAGGTCTTCTCAGGTATTCTTGCACGCTTTACAGGGTCTTTTCAGGTAATTTTTCAAGTTTTACGAGGTCCTTTGGAAGACGATGACGATGGCGATGGTGATGAGGAGGAGGATGACGATGATGACGAAGGCGATGGCCGGACGGCGAGAGCCGTCGAGACCCACCGTGGCATAGCTTCCAACTTCGGCCAGACAAGGGGCTTCGCCCGGAGGTAAGCCCCCCACCGCCCGGCATTTCCGAGCGGAGCCGCGGCCTGGCGTGTGCGCCTCCCATCAACCATGCACTCCGCACCCTGCCCTCGTCCGAGTCACAAGGCTATGCCGAAGCAAATGATGAAGCCGTCCGGGAAACATTGCAGTGCTGCGGACTTGGCCTGCAATCCGCGGAGCACACTGCCCCGGCAGCCTATTGGGCGGTGTGGGCGCCCGTGCCTCGAGGCCTTATACAGGGCGGAGCAAGCTGAGATGCCCCCTGTTTTTGTGCATCCACACGGGAGCTATTCTGCAAGAGGCGGGCTGGCGGCCCGTCTGGCGATGAGGCCAGTGTGTGCGGGCACGCTAGCGCGGCGAGCCTGTGATCGCCGAAGCGGTCTACTGCCCTGCCGCCCTGGGTGGCCCGGATGTTTACTACGCCTGGGACCGCAAGAGCGCTTGGGAACTATAAGTGGCATGTCAGAAAGCGGCACGTCAGGTCGTCTGCCGGAGGCGGGCATGCCCCTTCCAAGAGTGCGCGCCACGTGCGAGTATGCCCGGGAAGCGATTTGGTGGGAAGGGCATGGAAGGGTACGTCATTCCGATGTTGGAGCGCAGGACTTCGGACCGTCTCAGGCTCGTCGTGCACGTTGAGCAACGAGGGAGCGCAATGCTGCGAAGCCACGTTGGTGTCCCCACTCACATGTTCTTAAGCACCGGCAGCCAGCGGGTTGGTTGGGCCAGGCGTTGGTGGAGCATGGTGGAGCATGCTTTCGGTTGCGGTGCAACAGGCGCTCACCACAGTACAGCTCTGGGTGGCGTTTGGCTGCAGCGGTTGCAACCACAGGCCGGCGAAGGCCCGCCGCTCGACCGGCGGAAAACAGGTGCTTCAAAAAGGCTCAGCTTTCTATGCCCCAGCATCGCCGCGAGTCCACTAACATGACGGTTGGAGCACTTCTCGTACGGGCTCTGATAGCCAGCCGTATATTTTGCGGGCTTCAGCACAAACTCCGTAGAATATTTCCTTCCATCTTCCGCAACTCGGAGGCTTTGAAGAAAAAGAAGTACGGAATAACCGCTGAGCAGGTTGTATGGCCACCTGTGCAACGCAATGATGGGTCGTAGACACGTGTTCGTCGTCAACATCCGGAAGAAGGCGACGTGTGTCGGCGGCAGAGACGGATCCCATTCCTGAGGGTTACGCTATGTTACGGTCCGCCTCACAAGGAGTTCGGCTCTTCATCGTCGGGCCCTTCCGCGGTAACATGCCCGTTCTCGTGACGGAACCATCCTCTCTTTCACATGCCGTGCTACCCTAGAAACCTAACAGCTTCGGGTCAGTCACCGCACTCCAAGCATAGTGAAGCATCTTCTTAGTTGCGGCGGTGCTGATACAATGAGCAATGTCGCGGCACGACAGATACGATCAACTTTTTTCATCATCAGAGTAGCATGACATCGCATGGAAAGCTAGCTGCTTAAGGTCATGGTGCGCCACACCTCCTGCGAGGCGCCTCCTGAATCAGATTCCTTCTCAGAAGCGAAGCTTCCTGAGGCTAAGTTGTTGTTGGCCTTCTTGCCGTCGATGCCATGGTAGGGGAACTTTTTCTCTTTTTGTTTTTGCCCGACGAGAGGGCCGCTTACAAAGGTCGACAATCTCTGTAATCTGTGGCTGGAGCTCGTTGACCAGTTGCTTGAACTTTTCGTGGATGTTGTGCATGGAACTCCGGGCAACGGCTGGAAGACAGTCGAGTCTTCTCATCTGCCGCGACGCCACGCTTCACACCCCCAGTTGCCATGGTTGGCCCCCGCCACCGCAGATGTGGAGCCCCTGCCTTGCCAGGATGGCCGCCGGCAGAGCTCCTTGCCCATCAAATGCAATTTGCGGCTCTACATGCCCTCGCTGCGTGCGATCGCGTGCCAGGCTCAGCTCTCGTTTTTGGGAACTTGTGTCTTTGTTGTGCACCGCCAGTCCTGTCGTCAGGGTTCGCCCAGACCTTGCTCCAGCATGCTCACTGGAACATCCCTAGCAGAGGATCGAAAATCAGCGGCAGCCTTTTCCGCCATGCCCGAAGCGCGGTGCCCCTATCGGCCGCACTGTAGATTTGCATGGCCCCCGACGCAAGCAGCATTTATTGAGTCTTGCTGTGACAGCGGCTGTGGCTACACAGAGTCTGCCGGACGATGGCCGGCGACGGCTCTTGCCGCCGCTCCGCACACGAGCCGTGCCAACTCCTGCGTCCGGTGAGTGCGCCGACGAACGTGTCGCCGCCTGCCTGCCTGCCTGCCTGCCTGCCTGCGTGCGTGCGTGCCTGCCTGCCTGCCTGCCTGCCTGCCTGCCTGCCTGCCTGCCTGCCTGCCTGCCTGCCTGCGTGCGTGTGTATGTGGGAATCATCTGAACATAATGATTATGTCGCTTACTTTTACTCCAGTTGCGTGGGCCAACTAGTCACACTGCGATGTGGATGTGGACGCAGAGACGTAGGTGCATATGTGTGTCCCTCTGCACGAACGCACATTGCAGGACGACTCGGTTTTTCTGTATGTGCCCAAAGGTCGGTGACTCAGGCTCAGTTGTCCGAAGTCTCAAAACCGGAATACTCGAGTAAGACGAATATGCAAAGAAATCTGCCTCTTCTCTGCATCTGCACGTTGATCTCCGATGGCTTGCAGGTGCCTCGCAACATGCTCATGCTTCCAGCTTAAGTATGGAGCTGATGCTCAGCCTGAGGTGCGTTTGCCGGGTCTCAGTGCGAGACCGAAGAGGCGCCACCTGACTTGATGTGCTCTGGCAAAATCCGCCATCTGAGCGGAGGACAGCCAAGAGGACCCTTGCCTGCATGTGGAGGCCCTGCCCTAGTTTAAACAGGCCAAGCGAAATCAAACGAAGCTGTGGCAGGTGCACACCCGCAGCCTGATGGATAACAGCACCATTGCCGTGATAGGCCTGATTCTATCTTGCAGAGGGCATGACATGTAAACTCCCAACTCCCGCGGCCCTCCTCAGACAATGGCGGTCTGCGCCTCGCTTGTGACGGCCGCCACTTTGTCCGTCCGGTTGGTACATGGATTGATACCAAGTTCTGTTAGGATGACGACAGAGACAGGCCCAGATAAATCAAGAAAGGCCAGCTGCCGACAGCTTCGGCACGTCTAAACATGGACAAGGGCCGCAGATTAAGCTGTTGTGCTTGCAGATTGCAATCTCCGGCCGAGATCCGATGTCTTGGTCCGAAGTTCGAAGACTGCAAGTCCCAGTCTGGAGTGCGTCGCCAGAAGCGTTAAAGGCAAGTTTGGCCTCATGGAGACCACCCTGACCTATGCCTGACGAACCGCCTGCACCCACGATTAATCAAGGCCCCGCGATTGACAAATTCGCACCCCACCTTCGCCTGTTACAGGTCGGGCATCCATTCCTATGTCCGACTGGTCAGCGTCGAAGAAGCTCAAAGAATTATGCGTACCATGCCTCAGAGTAGATCGACGCATGCTCAGCGACAGCCTAGTGTTGGAATTCTCAGGTAGAACTCGAGCTGCCAAAGGACCAGAGGAAGGATGTAGAGGATCTCCTAATTTGACCAGTCCAGTGTCATTCCGTGACATGCCTGCCTGAGCCTTGTGGTGCTTCCAGGAAGACGGGAAGGAACGTCCTCCGTCCCGTGTGCGCCTGCAGCTCGCGTATGATGCCTTCGATGTGCTTGAGGTGTGAGTCTTAATGCGCCACTTGGGTTTTTGTTTAGAGGGCTTCGAGCATGTACGGCGCATTCCCCTGGTTCTCGAGATTTGCATGAGACAGTGTAGCTGTGCTTTGTAAGTTGCGGCCAGCAGCCTTTGTCGAAAGTCCGGCTGTGACTGCAACTGTTCAAAAACCGAGCGTACCGCGAAATACGAGAACAGCGGCAGTGCCAAAGCTGTGATGCCTCTAGACTTGTGAGGGATCCCCAGAACCCCGCACGCACGCGCACACGCGGCCGCTGAGAGCTCAATGCGCGGAGCTTCGGCTCAGGATCCCGCCAGCAGCACCGGTGCCGATGAGCAGCTCGATGACGTCACGCCTGAGGCGTCCTGTCAATTGCTCCTTGACCGGGTGCTTAGCTTCCGATGCTTGAGCACGTCTCGGAGGCCCGGGCACGGCGGCAAAGGCAGAGACAACAAATTTTGCACTTCGTGCTGCCCTCATCTCGAGTTTTGCTTTGACAGGTTCGGAAGCAACGTGCCGGCCGAGGTATGGGGAACCGTGGATCAATGTTAGTGTAGCTGCCGTGAAGAGACGTGACAGGTGCGTCTGCCCGACGTTCAGCGCTTGAGTGAGCATCAGCTGCAGGCGAGATGCTCTGAGCCCTGAGATGCCCTGAGACCTGCAGAGACCAGAGACCTGCAGCGTGAGTGGAGAGCAGGCTGCTCTTCGAGGTCGAGGTTTGCCCTGGCTTGGCGAAGGAGCCTTTGCTGAGCTTCAGGGGACCATCGGATGTCAGCGCTTTGCGAAGGACGTGAAGCTCTGGAGAAACGCCTGCAGAAGCGAGACACTCAAGTCAACTCGCTTCGCAGCCCAAGCGAGTCCGAACGGGGGGCGCCTGGTGAAGGTCCATCGCGGCCGAGAAAGCCGTTTACGACTCTGGAAGTTGGTGGAGCACCGCTGCGCTCCCGGCGTCGGCCAATGATCATCTGCTGGTGTCATCAATTCCTGCGAGGTTGAGAATTTCCTCGGCACAGACCGCAAGGCAGACTAACAGTGCCGAAAAGCGGGCCTCGGATTCGTCCAAGACAGTGCTGCACAAAACTTGGAGTGGTTTGGAGGCACAGCTCGAGGGAGCCATGGGGGCTGCCGCGACTGCGGCAGAGACTTTGTCAGGACAAACGTTTTCTACTGTGCACGTGGGCTCCTGTGTTGCCTAGAAGCCGCAGATCATGTTGTAGTTGTTGCCGTGAGACGCTGAGAAGGCTCAGAATTCTAAGGTCCCGAACCACCTGTGTTGTAGGAGACTTCTTTGCCGCAGTGGGTGCGGGCATCATGTCTGGAGCTGGGGAGATTGCGGGATTCGACGAGTTGATGAAGGGCGACTTTGCCGGTGCGATGGAGAAGCGCAAAGACGTTTGGGAGGCAGTCGATCAGCGCTGCAATGTGGTAACATAATCCTGTTATCAGAGCTGATTGTCCACTCTTCCAGACAAGAACAGAAGGATAAAGAAAGGTGAAGTTCCCACATGGAGGTATGCACAAGATCAGTGACAGGAGGCTTCTTGCTGGATGACCGGTTGCAACAAACAAGTGACGGGAGGTTTCCACACTGGAAATCTGACAGATTCTCGGATGTGGATCTGAGCGAAGGCAGCAAGCTCTGAAGAAGGCCGTGCGGCCTTGAGGCAGAAGGCCCTTGCCGCTGCATGTGATGCGAGCGAGTCCTCGGCTCGCCTCTTTTTTTTTCAGCCGTTTTGAGAGTCAGGCGGACGTGGCTGTGAAGCGGGCGAAGCAGCAGGCCGAGATGGTTCGAGGGTCCTAGGACTGCCTTGATGTCGGCTCCCGCGCAGGCCATGATCCGATTGGCGCAGGGGATGGAGCTCATGTTTGGAACTCTGCAGCATTTCCGTCCGGGCAACCTGCTTGCTAGTCTCTGCCAGTCTCAGGTCGGTCCGCAAGGGAGCTTGGAGGATGCTCGAACAGGCTGTGATGGATGAAGGCCTTCGGCACTGCCCACGGCGCGTGGTGTCCAGAGCAGCAGTGTGTCTCTCTGAAGGGGCCGCTGGTAGCACGTCTTTTGCCGACTACGAGCAGCCAGCCTCTCAGCAGATGCAAGAAGAAGGCGCGAGGGTAGTGGGAGTGTCTTCCTTGCGCTTGACGAAGAGGTTGGCCTATCTCGAAGCGGGCAGCACCAACACCGAGTGCTGGGTCGTGAACTCATGAAACCGTTTTGTCATTTCCAGCGAAGACTTCGGCTGTGGAGGTCTGGCGCCTCCTCGCCGGCAAGCGAATCGTCGTCGCCTTCCGTGGCACCTGTGACTTTGGGGATGTTCTCACCGACATTGCGGCCCTGAGCTCAGAGCGGCCGAAGCCCAAACTGCTATCTGCTCACTGGCGAAGTCCGAGAGGCCATACCTCGAGAGATCGGAGACCTGGGCAAGGCTGGCATGATGCCTGCATTTTGATGATAAGCTGGGCCCCGCGGTGATGTCTGAATGCTTCTGGCCGCAAGGTGCATGAAGGCTTCTCTCGCGCCTATGACTCCGACGCCAGCTTAGTTACAGTAAGCCGTGTTGTAAATTTAACATCTTGCCGAGGCCTCGGGTCAGGATGCAAGTTCTTAGGAAGGAGCTTACCCACTAGCCTTCATCTTCATGGGAAGGTACTATGTCCAGGTTCTGTGCTCCTCCGACCCATCGCTACATGGATCAGCCACTCAGGTACGGGAGGCTCTACACGCAGTCTTAGCCAGGGGATGTCTCGGAGATGGCGAAGGATGGGAGGTGAAGCGCTGTGTGTTCTCGCACTTTGCTGTTCCTCAATGTTCTGCACCAACATCCAGCAGCGAACATGTGCACGTGCCTGTTGCCTTGCAGGTGATTTTCACGGGGCATTCACTTGGCAACCCGGTGGCAGCCCGGTGGCTCTGCCTTTCTAGGCCCCCGACGGGTCTTGGGCTCTGAGGCGGCGCCTTGGCCACCTTGGCTGCCCTCGACGTGTCACGCACCATCCGCCCGGGACCAAGGGGGGGCGCTCTTCCGGTCCGGCAAAAGGGCCAAAAAGGGAAAAACGGCCATAATGAAAATGCTCCACCTGAGCTCAGGCGGATTGCCCGCTGACTTCGGCAGCGCAGGTGAAGTCGGGAAGATTCTGCCCACTCCTCTAAGGCTCCCAGATTCCGAAGTCCGTCCAAAGCTGTGGTAACATGGGAACATGGAATATCCGGTCCTTGTCAGGGGCGCTGAGATCATCGCGTGCACGCCGGGGGCTTAGCGGCGACAATATGTTTCTCTGCCGGCCGAGCATTTCGCCTGAGATTTGGAGCACCGCGAGTTGGCAGCGCTCGTGTGGCGGCTGCTTACGATGAATCCGTGGATCTCTCGGGCGCTTGGCGCGTCCGTGTGGAATCCTTCGACATTTCCAAGTGCAAAGGTGCCAAGATCCTGGCGCATCTTCAGTACATCCGACGTGGTGCCGAACGTACCGCCTACAAGTCTTTGGGGTGCGCATCTTGACTTCTCTGCGCAATCCTGCCCCCCCCCGGATAGTTCCTGGTCCCAGCCTGCAGGCTTCCGCCATGCCGGAATCGGTGTGCAGCTGGACCCACAAAAAAGCGAACTTATTGCCTGCGACCGAGGGGAGTGTTCGACAGACGTGTGCCTTGAGCAAAGAGTCTAAAGAGCCGTGAGGTTCGAGGTCGCACGGCCGGGCTGCAGGAGGCCGCTCTCGAAGAGGCGCGAGGAATCGCTCCCCTCCTGCTCGAATTCGCGGCCGAAGCGCCAGGCCGAAGCAGCGAAGTCCGAGACAGAGGAGGAAGGGCGGCAGCCTGCGGCAGCCCAGACTCCGACTGTTCTTATGTTTGATATGCCAGGAGGGCGGCTCCTCCTTGATGCTCTCCTTCCAAAGTGCTTCGTCAGAAGTCGCGCTTATCACATCGGACGTCCCCTTCATTTCCCTGTGCCGGTGAGGTGACATTTGGAGCTCCTTTGATGAGGCAGAGCTGGCCGAGCTCAGGCACAGACTTCGCCCTCCTCAGGTCTCAAAGTCCCAGCCCGAGCATCTCTTGAGCGGCGGCAACTTGCCGGCTTTGCGCAGGCGAGTGATTGGTACTGGAACAACTGCCGTTGGCGAACACATGGAGGTTAAGATGTGAGCTTGCAAAGTGCGGATGGCAGGGCGTTCTTGGCAGGACAACTACTTTGCCCGAATTCAAGAATGCCTCAGTGAGACCGTCAGGCGGCAGGCTAGTTGAGTGCAGGGCTGGCAATGTCGATGTAGCTGGAGGGCCGGTGCTCGCACAGGGGATCGGATTACACCAACACCCGGCTCTTTTAGAGTGTCTGTTGCCAAAGGCAAGCAGATTTTTCAACGGCGTGCTTTTGCATACCACGGCCGCCAGCAGAAACAGAAAAAGTCGATGACGACACGCAGTACTAATTTGCGGTCGGATGTTGCATGAAGCTCGTTTTACACTTTGTCGCCGTGCATCTAAGCCTGCCCTCACTGCAGTCGCAAAGCCGAAGATCCGAACCCACCGTGGCGGAGGACCCGCAGGCCAGGTTGCCCGGGTTGCTTCGTGGAGCCGTGGAGCCATCAGGGAATGCGCAAGGCCCCGAACTGGGGGAACACGGCTTGGGAAGGGACCGGGAATGGAATCGCAGAAGTCCAGTCCGTGTAGGCATGGGCGTAGGCGGCGCAGGCCCAGCTGTCCTGATGCAGGCGCGGAGCGGCGAGCTTCCAGGGGAGTGGGCATGGCAATCGCAGCCTCCAACACCTGCAACCCGACAAAGACTGGTGTTTCAAGTCCAAAAAGGAGTCTGTTCCCTTGGAGACCTCCGTCCTCTCTGAGAGTCTCCGAGGCAGAGACCGAGGCCCAGGCGGCCCAGGCGGCCCAGGCTCCGGCCTGGCGGGGCACTCGGGCGTCGGCATCCGAAGTCATACCAAAAACGCACGAAAAAAGATGGATGCGCTTCCTTCGAGGAGCAGCCTCTCTCTCGAAGACCGGCAGAGATTTGGCCTGGACGGCCACGCGCTCGGCTCAGCCAGGCTCTGCTCGGAAGGGAAGTCTTTGCTGAGGTCAGGAGCTGCCTCCTTCACAGAGGCACAGCTGCGCCGAGAGAACCTGTTGCCTGTCGTCGCCTCTTAGCCCTTCCTGCAAGGATGGAAGCAGCGGAGCTGAATCCTCATCTGCCAACAGCACAGAACTTGGTGATACTTACGGGACCCGGTAGAGTTCAGCCATGTCCTACTCTACTAGCATAGCCAAACGACGTGATGTTGGAGACAATTTGTGTGTCAGCTCGGCATGGCTTCGTGTGCTTGCATTTGAAGGCGGTCTCGAGACATGCGGTTAGTCACCATCCAGATGTCCTGTGGCCGTGCCCCCAGCAAAGACCGATGCAACATCTTCTGTCGGTTCCGCTCCCTGGTTTTAAAGCTCTCTTATCGTGACGTACAAGTGGCCTCCTGGCAGAATGAGTTGCTTCTTCTCGTCAGACTTGCAATGCAGAAGCCGGAATTGAGCGTTCCTTACACATGTAAGAGCACAGCTGTTTCTCAATCGAAGCATACTCCTTGTGGTACTGTGTAGCGGGAGAGAACAAACAAACCGCGCGATTCCCTCCGAACACCAGCCCGTCGCCACTCCGAAGCCGGGGAACTCCTGGATGCATGCATTCTCCTTTAACAGAAGGATGAAGGATGCTTTCAATTCTTTCGGAATCTCAGCATGCACAGTCCGCCCTGCTTCTTCGGTTTTGTGGGGCTTGGTTCCCAGGCACAAAGGTTGCATTCGATGTCAGCCTGAGTCAGCCTCGCGTGCTCCCGCGACCTCGCGAGAGAATGACACCTCAACTGACTGCTCCCTGGACCTTCGAAGCTCATCTTCTTTACGGGGTACTGTAGGGTTCGGACCTGTGCCTCCGAAGTAGCAAGCTACTTCTTTGCGCCGCCGGCTCGACGTACTGTACTGTACTGTTTGGAAAGGAAGCATCTCAAGCTCAATTCCCTTCTGAGAGATGTGCGCCGCACTTCGAAACCATGGCAGGTAAGGCGAATGAAAGCAAGGCCTTTATTCTTTTTTATTCATTTGTACTCGATGCTTTCTCAGGGGAAACGCCGGAATGCCGGGGCCACCGTCCATGGCCAAGACTTTAGCGCAATTGGAGGCGAGATGCAGTGCATGTGTTTGACACTGGCATGGTCTTCGATTGACGTATCCTCTCCAGGCAGTGGGCATGGCCTCCAATCTGTCGCGGCTGGAGGAGCTGCGAGTGGGGGGATAGTTTGCCGGCATAGCCCATGTACCAAAACTCTGACAAAGAGGGTTGACACGCGCCACAGGAGACTGAACGAAAGCTGCAAAAGTTGAGGCTGGGATGACGAAAGAGTCCTTCGCCAGCAGAACCTCGCAGTTGCTACCCTGGAATTTTAGAAGCTTCATGCTTAGAAGCTTCATGCTTATCATGCCAAGCAACATGAGAACTTCAGACCGTCAGCCGTACTTTCACGCTCATCGGAGTTGCGTTGTCAAAATTGTCAAAGCGTTTCACCCTCCTCTTCTTGTTCCGCGTCTGTCATTTTCACACGCAGTCAAGATGAGGAAAATAGAGCCTGGCAGTCCAGGCATGTTTGTGACCCGTACCGGGAAGGCAAGGTCGGGCATGGTTGTGCTCGGGCATGCTCGGGCTCAAGTTTCACATCACAAGGCCTCACTCGCAGACCGTCCGGAGTCGGGATCAGCCATGTTTGCTGGAAGCATACAAGACAGGTTGCGGGCGCGAGAAGATGATAGGATCGGCACATTTCGGCAGCGCTCTGTGCCACTTAACGTGTCCGGCCATCCAGAGACCGTTCGGAATTACTCGTCCAAGTGCCACCATATAGCCGAGCTAAAAGAGAAGGCTCGTCGCATTGAAGCACTTGAGAAGCAGCTTGTCATGTCTGAGGAAGCTCGCAGCCAGTTGACTATGGACATTGATGTCTTAAGTGATAAGCTGGAGCAGGCATCAATCATCAGAACGAGAAACGAGACAATCATCGAGTCTCAGAAGCAAGCGATCCAGCAGCTGCAGCTGGCTCTGCGCAACCAGCAAAAGGCTGTTGAAGCGATTCTCGGAGAGGAGGGCGCACATTTGGCCAACTTGCAGCGCCAAGTTGAGACCAACCAGACGAGCCTGAGGCAAGCACTCCAACAGCGCCCCTCCTCCAGGCCAGGGCAGCCAGGGCAGCCAGGGCAGCTGGCGCAGCCAGCGCAGCGGCCGGCACCGTCAGCGCCGCAATCCTATGGCCTCAGTGTCTTTGGAGGCGAAACGGAGAAGGAGTCCGAGGACTCGGAGGAGACGGAGTCCAGTGCACCCAGTGCCAGCGTGCCCAGGCTGACTGCACCCACTGCAAAGCTGCACACACCCGGGACGACTCCACGAACTGCTGCATCCAGCCCACGAACGGCAAGCCCGGCAGCCAGCCGCTTTATTTAGGAGAGCCCTGCTATCTCTTACGATGACATCAGCTCTGGCTTGTTGGTGGCTGGATCTCTGGCTCCGGCTTCCCAGCCGCAGCCAGACCTCCAGGCCAGTTGCCAGGGGCTGCCGAAGGCACCCTTGCGACGAGAATCGTGGGAGGAGGATCAACTTCTGTGCTCAGGGGCCCGCCCCCGCCGGACCAAAGGAGAAGTGCGCTGCGCTTGCACTTCCCCTCGTTGCGCCACTTTTCGCATGGGTCTCCAACTTTTGCATGTTTGGGCATGGTCCGTGTTCGTGTGACAGGGTGTTTTTGTCGAAAGCTGCGATGACGATCCGATCCTTTTGCAGTTGCGAGTTGGCCGTCCGTTGGCAGCTTGTGGAGCAAGATAGCCTTCGATGCAGAAGAAATGCAGGCATCCACTCGGACAACATCCAGCCTTCTAGGGACAGTCACAACTCACATAACTCACAAGCACTCTCTGCCCGCTCATGTAGATGTTACCATCGTCCTGCGGTGTTGTTGCACGGCGGCGAACCACGACAGACTTACACTCACATTTACTCTCCCTCAGAGCGATGGCTGTGGGAACAGCTGCAAACGATCGATGCTTGATTAATTGAGCTTGTAAGCTTCAAGATGCATCTGTGCCCGTGGATAAATGCTGGCTCGTGAACACCTGAATGGGAAGGAATCGAGAACCATGCGGTGGAGAAGGAGAGGAATCCAGTGTCGCCGCAGCTCCAGGCATCGCCGATTCCCGTCTGCAACAAACCTGTCGAAATTCTGGAGCGCACAACAACCCTTTTTAAAACAGTCTTCCGGCACTGGCGCAGATCTCAGGAAAGGCCGCGATGCAGACGCGAAAGATCCCGGGCTGATATGGTCAAAGTCCCCAGTTGCAAACTCCTCCTTGGAAGAAGAGCAGTGTCGGGGCAATGTCGCGCATTTAGTTGCATCAACCCCTGAAGCGAAGAAGGCATCCGGAGTGCTGCCTGGGGGCGAGTTGGGCACTAGATTCTTAGATGTAGCTTCGAGTGGCATGGCACCCGAGGAAGGCCTTGCCTCCACGCGGACACAAGCGGATTGCAAGAAGGAGGATGTGGCCAAGGAGTCTTCGTGCAGCGCAGTTGTTCCATAAAGACGAACCAAAACTCGGCCCCTTGGAGGAGGGCGAAAGGCACGTTGACTTCGGATACCTCAGTGAGTCAGTAATAAGCTGCCTGGCAGACATAGTGACTGCAGTGGTGCAGAGGCATCGTGTCGATTTGCTAAGTTGCCCTCTGTTCGTTGAGGCACTGCCTCACCAGCTATGAGCGAAGCTGGCGAAAGTGGGGAGTCATCCAACTCCAGTGCAGCTTCCCTAGAGCTTGGCATGTCAGATTATGCGTCGTGCTGTGCTCGAGTCTTATGTGGATTGAGGTGTCGCAAGATGCAGGATCCTCAGTCGTTGTGGCAACCTAACGTGCTTGCTTTAATTGAAAGGCTGCAGTAGGATCCGAAGTCGACAGACTGTTGTGGAGATACTGAGTTCACATGAACCAAGGCCCATGGCAATGTCGATTGCCACTCCAACGGCTTATTGCCTTTTGCAGATCTTGCTGGAGCCAGAAGATCTGCACCCGAGGCATCACATTGAATGTCACAGCAGCGAGACAAAGATGTTATGCAGACCCCCGCGAGGCGCAGAAAGGTCACGCTCAAGTCGAGTTCGCAGCGCTTTCTCCTGAAAGTCCACCTTGTTGCTGCGGCGGATTGCAGTACCTGCAGGAACGGGGCTTGGGGTCAGATGTCAGTACTTTGTGGTTCCGTCAGAGCCGCGGGGTCAGCTGCATAGTGTGGTGGTGCTAGTAGCCACCTGATCGCCCAGAGCCTCCAACAACGCAGGAAATCCAGAGCAAGCGTTGCTTGAGCTTCGAAGTGATGCAGGCCGAGATGGCACCTGCAGAGCCCCTGATGCACTCTTTCAGGAACGGCCCAGCCTGTCCGTGTTCCAGCCCAGCCTCATGCAGCCTCCGACTCCCCAAACACATGAGGACTTCAGCCTTTGTCCACAACTCCTCTGGTCCGTGTGGCTCCTTCATTGCCGTCAGCACATCTTCTGCTGACCTGCTTGCCGCCCTACCCTGCTGCTTTGCTTTTTGTCGAGCTCCCATCCCCGTTCCCGTCCAGCGCTCCGCCGCTTCCGACGTTGCCCACCCCTGGAAAGCCAAGAAAACACAACAAACGAACGCCAACTTCTCGGCAAAAGAGTGGTGCCACGAGACAAATAACTCGGAAATCCAGCAAGTTTCGTGCACTGCAGCCGATGGGGGTCAGTTCGTCAGAGGGATTAGAGGGATTCTGCTTTTCTTGTTTGGCATATCCGGCTGCTCACTGATAGGAGATGCTGAATTACATGGATAGCTACTGCCAGGGCAGCTTGGCGGTACCTTGAGTAGGGGGATATATATTGTCAGCGCAAGCCGGTACCGTTCGTAATGCCCAGGCATGCGCCCGTGGCAACAGCAGTGGGTGAGTCTGGTGGAATCGGCATGCAGGACGCTGCGAATGCCCCTGTGCAGCGTGTGCGTGTTCGTGTGTTCATTTGTGTTGTTGAGCCGCAGCCATGGCTCCCAGGACGGCGCTGGAAAGCGACTACAAGGACCACCTACCAGGGACTCTAGGGCCCCGTGATCCCAGAGTGCCAGCGGTGGCTTTGAGGAGATGGCGTTGGTGGGAAGCTTGGCTTTGGCTCTGGAGACGCCCGGGAGCGATGTGGACCTCGTGCGCTTCTCCCAGACGGATTGGAATCGGAACCCTGCGATCTCTGAGGCCGTGTTGCTTTGCTGAGGTGCGTTACACACTCGCCCGCACATCAAGTAGATGCAGTGACTGTTCTGAGGAAGGCCGGATACATCCGACGGCGGGTTTCCTTCTGTGCATCGGCACGCGAACGCCATCCCTGATCAGGTCCGGGACATACTCGTTTCCGACAGCAACCTGGCTGCACAAAGAAGCGGTGTACTGGCTCTTCGGCTTGCGTGCTACCAGTAGAAGTATGAAATTCCTTAGGTCACTCCTCCGGATTCCCTGATGGCTACACCGTGCTAGCGCGCGTCCCAACGATGCCTCTGCTTGTGCAGGAAATCCAACACACAAAGTTGCTTGCCTTCCGCACCCTGCGCCTTTCTACACTTTTGAGGTCATTGATGATGCCCGAATACCCATTCTGTCTGTGACGACAGGCAGCCAGGTCCTGGTGCCTTGGTGAATCGAGTCCAGAGAGGAGCACTACCCAGCCATCGTTTGTTCCAGAAACACTTTAGCTCTTTTCGCTAAGGTCGATCTGGCCTTGAATTCGCACCACTCCATCCAGCATGCAACTTCTCAGCATGGCTTGTCATGTTCCGAGCAGGATTGCAGTGTTCTTCTCGCGACCGGAATCCGTAGCGAGTGCTGCAGAGGTAAGTTGGTTTCGGAATGTTGGTGCCGTGCCTCCGAATCCTCCGACTGCAGCCTGGCAGCAATCTTGCGTTTCGTGGCTTGGGCGGATTCGGGCGGCTTGGAGGTGCCGTTGTGTGTGAAAAAGGTGGTGCAGGTCCCAGTGCTGACTGTGACGCTGCGCTGCCTGAAATGGTGGTTGAGGACTGCGGCCCAAACACTGCAGATCTGAGCAGCTGATAACAACAAGTGCTTCTCTCGAGGATGAGACGAATTCCCCGCATGAAAGATGGCTCGCTGCCAACAGTGGCATGGATGCTGCTGGCAATGCATGTTTGCGCGGAGCAAAGTGGCTTCTCTGTTGCAGTCAGGTTCCATTCTGCAGTGCAGTCCCACCATGCTTGAACATGTTGTTTGGCAAGGATCCTTCTCACCGGAGCTCCTTTCAGAGAATCCACTGGCGGCGGTACTTGCGCTCCTGAGTGGCTAGCTGGCACCGAGAGAGCTCAGAGATCTTCAGTGCGGTTTCAAGCTTTGGAGACAGTTTCGACTGTAGTTTTTAGGGGTTTGGAGTTTAGGGTTCTAGGGTGTGGGGGGAGGGCCTTTGGGCTGCATGCTTCAGAGGGCTTTCGGCACGGCCCCTGAACTACTCCGACACCCGAAGCCGTAAATCCTAAACCCTAAGTTCCCCGGCGCTTCCTTCAAAGCCTTCATTCAATCCTCGAAGCTACAAAGCCTGCAGACCTTCTACGATGGCCCTTCGGAACTAGCGGCTAGAGTCCCAAACCTCGACGTGCTTTCTCTTCATAAACGTCTATAGGCCATCACCACAAGCAGCCGCATAAATCCCTAGTGTAGGGTTCGGAAGAACTACCAATACTATTCCTTTGGGTGGGTTCTGAGTATACTTTACTGTATGTACCCAGAAACCCTATTCTCATTATTCAGGCCCCTGTATTACAAAATCCTGTGAACAGGTGCGCGGGCAGCCCAAAAACATAGCTGTTCAGTCGTTTAAGATGCCCGTCTGACCCCTTATAGAGCCGCTCGGCAATCTAAGCCCCTAAACCCTAAAACCCTAAACCCTTAAACCCTAAGCAACACTTGCAGACCCCTTGTAAAGCCCTTCTGGTACACTTTCGGGTTTCGGGCTTAAAGCGGAAGCCTTTCTTAAACACCCTGGCAAATCCTTATGGGTAGTTCTCTAAAGTAGGGTCCCTTTTTGGGCCCTCAATATAGTATGGCACCCCTATAAAGGAACCCTAAAAGGGACCCTAATTTAGGGAACTGCCCTAGGGTCGTATAGAGCCATTGAAAAGCCCTAGCAACCTCCCCATAGAACCCAATACCCCTTAATTAAGGAAGGTACCTTGAGTTATGGGAGCCTTATTACAATGATTTAAGGTATATTCCCGAATTAAGGGATATTGGGTTCTCTGGTAGGCAAGGACCTAGACTCGTCTAAATCGCGCATACTGCCAGGTGCCTTCTTCCAGAGATACACGACGGTCAGCGGTCTCGACGGGAAGCTGCAGTTTGAGAGCCTCGCCCATAAGTCCTTCTCGTCACGTGTGAGTATACAGTATATGGGAAGACTAATCCTGGCATGTGACAGGAAAGGCTCTGCTGTCTCAAGCTTTGAGCAGAGCTTCCAGAAGCGGCCCTGCCATGCTGATCTAGTAATCGTCGATCCAGAATCAGGCGGGGGCTGCCCGTGCACTCATGCTTCGAGCTACGTAAACGGAGGCTTCACGCCCCGGCCGTCTGCATCGTCGTTGATGATCATGTTTCTCAACTTCTGTGTTCACGTCGTTGTTTGGTGCTAACAGAGACTCCTTAATACCACGCCAGCGTGCTCCAATGTCTGGCAAGTTTTCTCCGCTTACGAATATGGCCAGAGCAACTTCAATATGCATCTCGACGAGAACCTGCCTTCAAAGCAAATTGGAACATATCAGGTGGTCGGGACTCCCTGCAGATACGTGTTGCCTTCAAAGCAAATTGGAACGTATCAGGTGGTCGGGACTCCCTGCAGATACGTGTTTGCGAATGAAAGGGTTGCAATCATGACAAGGAACAGGCCAAGACTTGGAACATCGCAACTCACAGCAGATATGTGTCTGTGGACGAACTCGTTGGACACTTGCAAGAATCCAACTTCTCGACTACAGGCCAATGCATGCATTCGAGCATTCCAGGCAAGCACTGAAACTAGTCTGTACCTGCCAGTGCCCCCAAAGCCGACGCAGATTTTAACTCTTTGATTCCTGCGACATGTGAGGCCTACCAGGCAGAGATGACGTGAATTATCCCGTCTGTGCAACAGATCGCCGTCAGTCGTCTCTTTTCTTGTGCCCCTGCGAAGATGTGAACTTGGCACCGCCGATGTCGCCGGCAACACATATTCTGCTGGTGCATGAGCTACTTCGTGCAAGGCGGGACTCGCAAAAGAACATGCTCAGTAGGGTAGCCAGTTCTGCAATCGCAAGCAGCACTGCTTGCGTGGCCTTTGGTCTTGGAATGCCCAGCCTGAGTCGACATGCATGGCAACAGCAAGCGAGCGAAGACTGCAGCAGGTCTCTTTTGAAGAGTGTGATGAGTACCGGACAGTGCCAGCATCTTCACTCGGTTTTTCAGCCGGTGCTGCTGGCTTGGTCTTGATCGTCGAGTGGGCGCTGAAGAGATTTTGACAGTGCCTGCCGGCGTCCGGCGTCCAGGTGCCAGAGTTTGTAAACTCACTCCCTGCCTCCGCTTCCGACAGTTTTGATGCGCTGGCTGGCCTCTCAGACTGGGCAATTCGACTTCGGTTTTCGTCAAGCTGCACTGAGGTGTTCCTGGGTGGGAATGGGGACAGTTCATGTACAGTGGCCCGGCTGCAAGCTTGACACGGCTTGACCCGAGCTTCGTCGATGTGGAAATGTCAGGTTGAGCTCGTCCGCATTCACAGCGTCGGCAAGATGCCCTGGTGGCAAGCTCCTTTCCTGGCTCGCTGGGACATGCAGAGCCACCTGGATGTCCCTCGGCTGGCAGATCTCGTCAGAGAGGTCCCGCAGAGAGACTCACACTGAGGCACACATTTTCTGCGAGCAGCAAGTAGCTGGCCGTTGCACCTTTATCCAGACGAAGGCATGCACGGCATGTGGGTTTTGTGCAGCAGCTCCTGTGACAAGTAGCTCGATGCCTTCGCAGGCCATCACCTTATCGCCCTGGAATTTCATCTGTCGAAACCTATCTGCAAGCAGATCCCCCTCAGCAAAAGGCTCAACCCCTCATCGCTCAGCAGCCACACCAGGTGTGGAAACAAGCGGTGATGAGCAGAAGGGGTTGATTCTGGATGACGAGGTCGAGTCGTGTAGTATGCGCTTGCACGTCGGTGACGCCGCAACAAAGGGGCTTCTGCAGAGCCACCGCTGAGGCCCTGCATTGCATGAAGAGTATGAAGGCGCTGGCATCTGAAATGCAGGGCTGGGCTGCGATCAAAAGCCGGTGACCTGTTCGAAGGATTGGGAAGTTCAAGAGTCCGAATCACTAGTCCTATCGGTCCTGCGGCAGTGCCAAAAACAAGTTGTCTGACGGAGAACTTCTCCATCCCCTGGTGACTCCTCCGAAGATGTATAGATCCGGCTTGGATTCGGTGAGAATCTTGCCTCATGAGGACTGCCGGTAGCACACCTACGACGCTTAAGGCGCACAAACGTGCCTCCATTGTCGACGCGAGTGCTAATGCACGTGGAATTAGGAGATCATTCGACGCTGCGCAAGAGGAGCACTAACGGAGTCACTATTTGGCGTGAGGTGTAGGCCAAAGTGCAGCTGTTTGTGCGGATGTGCGAGCCATGATGCATCCCATCCTCTTGCACCCCAATAAAGAGTGCTTTCAAGGAAAAGCAGCGATCCTTGCAATGCTTTAAGAACTACCAACATTCTGTGGGCCATGATGTAACTGCTTCCCCGGTTGTGTTCGTAAGCCATAACTTCCAAACGTTGATTGCGGCCCTTCGTTTGAGACATGTTGAGCAAGCCTCAGTCAGCCGACAGCATGCTGTTAGCATGTGCTTCGCGAGCTGTGGAGCTGGGGCTTCGAGGCTAAGGAAATCCGTCGAACCGCGGAATTCCCACAGGCACCAGTGCACCGGCGAATCAGAACTGATAGCTGGAAGCTGCGTTGAGGTTGCCGGTGTGTAAGTTTGAGACGGCTCCGAGAGGTGGAATGAGGTCGTGGACGGTTTACAGGCTTGCCGACCAAGGTGAAGGACAGCTGTTTCCAGCCTCTCTGAGATGCTACTAAGCCAGGCGTGTTCAGGGCAGGAGGATTGCCCGAAACGCTACTGCGCAAGGTAGGCCCCATCCCTCTGCAGTTGCAATGATCAACTTGCTGAGGGCCGCCCGTGGCCGGCAAGTGTCAGCACCAGCAGGCACATGATGTTGTAGCTAGCAGGACAGGGGGTCGCATAAACTTCCCAGCAGAGTTTGATTATTGTTTCTGTGGTTCATGTGGTGTTGAAACTGTACAGCCGGCCCGGGATGTACCGTATTAATTTGGAGTTGAAAGACTCCTTCAGTGATCCAGTGCTGGACGCTAGCATGCCGCAGGCAGGTCAGTTGCTAGCGTCAGGGCATTTCGATCACGTCCGGCAGCACGGATGCGGCTTTGGGATGGGCTTCGCAGTTCTGCAGCACGATGAGAGGTCATCTCAAGCTGTTTTGTAGTTGGAAGCTCTTCTTCCGAGCTGCATCTGCGGATGTCATGCTTCCCTGATAAACAAGGTGCTGCCTAAGCCTTGTGAGACACATGTTTTGTGTTCGGCTTTCACGGCCGCCCTGTGTGCACTTGCGTGTTTTTTTCTGGAGCTTCTGTCATGCTTTTCGAGGGTTGCCTCTGGATTTCTGCGCCCGACTGTCTGGCCGAGGGGCTGGGGTTCGTGACAGACCTTGAAATCACTCGCATTGCAAAAACGTGCGAGACGCAGCAGCTCAGAGCAGAGCAGAGAGAACGAACTGAGCATTTGGCATACGATGAGGTTGTGTAGGAACGTTCGGCAGTGCGGTCTGTTTGAACGAACGTGCTCAAGGCGATGAAGCCGTTGTGCCAGATACCGAAGGTCTTCATGCAATCAAGAACGAGAAAGAGAGGTGGTCAGCTAGAGAAATGCTACTCCAAGTCCTGTCTGCTGAACTGATTTCATCTGCTCCCAAAGTTCACACCCTTTGACTAGCGGGTAGCGCATGAAATATGTGCGTATGTGACCTGAGAAAGGGCTGCAGCACCGCCACTTGCCATCAGCATCCTTGCATGCGCCCCGTCAGCCTGCTGACGCCTTTGCTTGTACAGCTCTATGCGGCGGAGAAGGAGTGAAGCATTCAGTGGCGGCGTTTGCCGGTGGCTATGTGCAACTGCATTTTTGGTGCAGCCCTCGAAGCCACAGTGCCCTGCAGTTGGTCCATGCAGGAGATCCTGCTTGACAAGACCCTAGCTGTTCTACCTCATACAGTGCTTCGGCCATAGGGTACTGGAGCAAAGGCGAAGGTCATGAAGCCAACAACAAGAGAAGGTCCGTTTCCGCATCATGCAGGAGACTGTAAAACTTCAAAAGTTTTCGGACTAGGAGCCTCCGAAAGCAATCGCTTTGGCATCGCTTATTGTGGAACCGGGTTTCGAGATGTTGAGGCTCTGGAACTTGGCCGGTGGCGCGCGAAGCTGGAGAGTTCCAGCTCGTATCTCACTTTGGGGAAAGGGTGCAAAGGAACTTCGACAATGCTGTTGCTTTGCAGCTGCTTTGCAACATTTTGCAACCTAAGGTGTCGTGCAGGACCCTGAATGTGAGACGGATGTGGAGTGCGGGATGCAGCGATGCTCTGCCGCAAGACTCGCTGCTCCGTGAAGTCTTGGCTCCCGGCCAATTGGCCGGAGCTGTGAGCTGCTGAGGCCCAGAATGCAAGAATGCGCAGTGCCAGGACCGAGCTGTCATGTGGTCACTTTAGGTTTGCCTGTGAATTTTTCTCTGGTGCAGGATCTACGAGAATTCAACGCGTCCGTGGGCGAGTGTATCTGTGAAAGCCCCAAAGACTGCGGACGTGAGGCCATGGTCTGAATCATGAATGGCGTGTTGTTTGTCGTACGGCGATTTTTCGGCTGAGATTTTGTCAGGAGATGGACCCATCGAAAAACACCTCACTCACGGGCTGCGCCCAGATTTGTGAGACGAATCCTGAGTGCCAAGCTTTCGAAGGGCAACTTGGTTGAGACTGCCTGCGGAGGTGTGGGTGAGCATTCAACACCTACAGATGTGTGTAAAGCCGAGGTATTACCACCGCTCAGGCAGTTTCGTCTGCAAACTGCTCAGGAGTTTTGGGCACTTAGCCAAAATTGCCCTTTCTTGCCGGTTCATCGAGTTTAGGGGTTTAGTGACGTCTTTGGGGTTGGGATCACATGGCGCCTTTCGCCAGGACTCGCCAGAATCAGGAAAGCGGAGCACCTGCAACTTTGACAGGCAACGGCAGACGCTGCTTGGCGAGAATTCGACATGCGGTCTATTAACCGTGACAGTCGTCCTTGTCTCAGTGAGATGAGTCGCGGTCTGGAAGGCTTTGCATCCGAGTACGACGTGTTCTGCTACAACAAGCCAGATAGAGAAAGTCTCTGTGGCCGCCATGTTGGATGCCTTGCAACCCCAGGCATTGTGTTTTCTCGGGGTGTCGAAGGATCGCTCGTCTCATTTCTGACATGCCAGCTCGCTGGAGATGTGACTGGGCATGCGACAACATCGACAACTGAACTGGACAAGTTCTTGCAGCTTTGGTGGTGCCTTACTTTTTGTGAATTGCAGGTCACTTCTGCTGTCCCGACCGTCGTGGCGTGTTCTGTCAGCACAAAGTATCTATCGGTTGGACTTACATAAATTGCTTGTCAACCAAAGGGCTTCAGGCTTTGTAGTCTCAGTGACTCATTCAGAAAGTAATCGGTGAAGCAGAGAAATCGCTCACAACTCCGGTTCGAAAGTAATTGATGCCGATTGATGCCAAGATCTTTTGCATCATCAGTTAACAGTTGTGTGGAGGAGCTGCTTCTCTGCTGCTCGACGCCATCTGCTCCCCTGCCGCAAGTCATGTCTTTTCATGAGAGCGTTTGCATGTTATGTTTGCATAGCCTGCTACTGTAGATCACCATCACCCCGAACGAGCGGAGGTGGGATTGTTCGGCAGCTTCTGCACGGCCATTCTGGCGTTGTGACCTGCATGAAGTGGAGACGTGTGACTTCTGCACCACGGTGTGGCAAATGTCACATCGTGAATTTGCAAGTCCAAAGGATGCTTTCCTTCAAGAGCAAAGAGGATATCAGAAAACAACGGAGAATCAAGAAAACAATTTCGGAAACAAGGCAGAGGATGTCAGAAACAGGCGGAAAACCAAAAAAAATAATAAGAACACAAGACAAACGAAACCAGAAAACAGGAGCGCGAAAATCGGAAAACCGGAGGCAAAACAAAATCAGAAAACGAAAAGACGACATGGAAAAACGGTGACAGGACTGTAGGAAGCAACCCATCGCGAACCCGTGGAACAAGCTATTGAAAGAATCTGGAAACCTTTGTGAAATCTACTGCGAACATGCTGAAAACAATTCAAAATTACTAGTATTGAATACCTATTGAAATCTTGTTGCAAACCTTACGAATTCCATTGAAAACTTAAGTATTGAACGTCTATTGAAAAATGTTGGAAACCTCTAGCTTTGTTGGTTAAAATCAATTAAAAAAGATGTTTTTCAATAGAAGTATATGTAATATATTGTATATGATGCATATAATGTGTGTATATATATATATATGCATGTATATGTC